TGCCTGTAATTCCGGCTACTTGGAAGGCTGAGGCGGAAGGATCGCCGGAGCCCAGCAGGTCGAGGCTGCGGTGGCTGGGAGCAGCCACTGCACTCCAGTCTGGGCGACGGAGTGAGACTCCAACTCAAAAAAAAAAAAAATCCTTAAGAAAGTTAAAGGTATTGCCAGAAGTTATTATTTTTGTTATGTTATACTGCACTTGATATAGATAAAATGCTGTTACTCAAAAGTATAGATAAAAGTGGATCTTATACTCCATGTTATACTTCCTGGAGTCCAAGTGATAACAGTGAATTCATTCTTAACCCAATTGCTGACAGTAATGTTACTTACGAGATGTCTGGCTGTATTTATTAACAGCAAAGTAATAAACGCATTAGGGGATCAAACCAAGACTATAGTGTTTTCATAGTCAATCTGATCACCTGGGTAGTCATCTCCAGAATTCAGCAAAATTGTTTAGAAGAAGCATGCTACTTGTCTATATGTAAATTAAGTTTATGTAGTTTGAATTGTCATTCAATACTATTTTCCTTTTATTCAGGTTGTAGCACATTCTGTTAGAATCCAGGGGTTTGTTTCCACAGGAATTTCAGTGCCCTATGTGAAAGGCACAGGGCAAGAAGTTCGATTTCCAGCCTTCAAGGACCAGGGAGGGTGATTTGTATGGTTGTGGTCAATCATTTGGAGTGGGAGAAGGAGTTTTTTTTTTTTGTTTTTTGTTTTTTGTTTTTGAGTTGGGATTGCAGGCTGAGCCTGGCTGGGAGAAGGATTTTGAAGGATGATTAAGAATAAGAGCAGGACAACCTCCTTGGGTCCCCTCCTGCTATGGGAGCTTTTTTGTCCTCTTAATAAATCCTGCTTTCTCGCTAAAAAAAAAAAAAAAAGAATAAGAGCAAATACTAGTGGAATGCTTAGTGTGTGTGTACCAGACTGTCCTGAGTGTCTACACATATTAATTCATTTAATTGTCATGATAGTCCTATGAGGTAAGTGCTGACCCATTTTTAGACAAAGAAATTAAAGTACAGAGAGCTTGAATAACTTGTCCAAAGTCACGGAGCAAGTAAGTGGTGGTGCTGGGTTGAACACTGACAGCCTGGCTCTGGAGCCTGTTCTTTCAACCATGTGCTATGCTCATTTCCCTTCTAGAACCGCTCACTTTCTTTGTCTGTTTAATACCATATATTTTTTTCTTTTTGTCAGCTTAATTGAATAAAGTTTATGTACAGTGAAGTTCACCAACTTAAAGTGTACAATTTGATGAGTTTTAACAAGTACATATGGTTGTGTAACTACTACTACAATCATGATATAGAACATTTCATTACTCCCCAAACTTCTCTCCTGCCCCTTTGTAGTTAATGTCCTTCCCCTCACCTTCTGGCCATCAGGGATTTGCCTTCTATCACTGTAGTTTTGCCTTTTTTACAATTTTATATAAATGGGATCATATATTGTGTCATAATCTTTTTTTGAGACAGAGTCTCACTCTGTCACCCAGGCTGGAGTGCAGTGGCATGGCATGATCACAGCTCACTGCAGCCTTGAGCTCCTTGAGCTCAAGTGACCTTCCTGCCTCAGGCTTCCAAGTGGCTGGGACTACTGGCATGTACCATCATATGCACCTAAACTTTTTTTTCCTTTTTTATGTTGCTCAGGTTGACCTTTAACTTCTGGCCCCATGTGATCTTTCCACCTCAGCTTCCCAGAGTGCTGGAATTATAGGCATGAATTACCACGCCCAGCCCATAATCTTTTAAAACAATTAAAGGAGCTGTGAAGAGCTAAACTTTCTTTTCTACCTGGTACTTTAAATACTGATACAGATTTTATAATCTCACTTCTCCTGGATCCATGGAGAATTAGGGAGGATATAGTGACAAATGACAGCTGAGCCTAAGTTAAAAGTGCACAGTGTGTGTGCATGCATGCATTTGCACTAACATTTTTTTTTTAATTGGAGTCTCACTCTGTTGCCCAGACTAGGTTGCAGTGGCATGATCATGGCTTACCTCAGCCTCAACCTTCTGGACTTGGGAGATCCTTCTGTCTCAGCCTCCCAAGTAGCTGAGACTACAGGCATGTGCCACCATGCGCAGCTAATTTTTTGATTTTTTAGATATAGAGACAGAGTCTCACTATGTTGCCCAGGCTGGTCTCGAGCTCCTGGGCTCAAGCAGTCTTCCCAGCTCAGCCTCCTAAATTGCTGGGATTGTAGGCATGAGTCAGCACACTCAGCCTGCACTAACTTTTTGGCATATCTTGTATATCAGCCTTAGTAGTAATGTTAGGAGTGAGGGAAAATAAAGAAAAAGAAAGTACTGCACATTAAGTAAAAATGTTACATGTAGAGCACACACTAATTTACTTGATCATTTTCTTTAAAAGAGTATTCTAGACATTATTTTGAATTATGTTGATATCTATTTTTTATAAAATGTATTGTAACTCATCCAAAGTTTTTTTTTTTTTTTTTTTTGAGTTGAAGTCTCACTCTATCACCCAGACTGGAGTGCAGTGGCCGCTCCCGGCCACTGCAGCCTCGACCTGCTGGGCTCTGGCGATCCTTCCGCCTCAGCCTTCCAAGCAGCTGGAACTACAGGCGCGTGCTACCATGCCCGGCTATCATCCACAGTTTTTAAGCTCAGTGGTGGGATTTGTATTTGCCTTTGGTCTGTTTGGTTCCCAAACTCATACTTCTTACCCTTACAAAGTGATTGTTATATTTTATTACATGACTATTTCCTACTCAGTTAAAATTCACAATCCAGTTTATATTTTTATATGGTGAATGTAGTGCAAGTTCTGTCTAGGGCTTCAAAAATTAAGAGCAAACTATCTTTTTTTTTTTTGAGTTGGAGTCTCATTCTGTTGACCAGACTGGAGTGCAGTGGCACGCTCATGGCCACCGTAGCCTTGACCTGATGGGCTCAGGTGATCCTTCTGCCTCAGCTTTCCATGTAGCTAGAACTACAGGCATGCACCACCACACCTGGCTAATTTTTTGATTTATGGTAAAGGTGAGATCTGACCCAGGCTGCTCTCAAACCCGTGGACTCAAGCAATCCTCTCACCTCAGCCTCCCAAAGTGCTGGGATTATAGGTGTGAGCCACTGTACCTGGCCCAAACTATCTTATAGGCATACTCAGGCATTGCTTCTCTCAGCTTTATTTATTTATTTATTTTTTTTTTTGAGCTGGAGTCTTACTCTGTTGCCCAGGCTGGTGTGCAGTGGCTCGCCCATAGCCACCGCAACCTCAACCAGCTGGGCTCAGGTGATCCTTCTGCCTCAGCCCTCCAAGTAGCTGGAACTACAGGCATGTGCCACTATGCCTGGATAATTTTTTGTTTTATTGTAGAGATGAGGTCTCTCCAAGTTGCCCAGGCTGGTCTCGAACTCTGGACTCAGGGAATCCTCTCACCTCAGCCTCCCAAAGTGCTGGGATTACAGGCATGAACCATCGTGCCTGACCAGCTTTCATTCTTAAATGGTTTACTTGTAAACTATCTCCATTTAATTTCCAGAGAAATTTATAGGAAAATATCATCAAAATAATATACTACAAATGAAGCTATTAAATAATAAAGCTATAAAAAGGAACAGGAGTAGGTAGGAAAAAGATCATTGTACTTAGAAACTGAGACAAGATCAGTGCTTTTTTTTCTGGGTAGGAGTCTCACTCTGTTGCCCAGGCTGGAGTGCAGTAACACACTCATGGCCACCGCAGCCTGGACCTGCTGGACTCAAGCCATCCTTCTGCCTCAGCCTTTCATGTAGCTGGAACCACAGGCATGCGCCACCATGCCTGGCTAATTTTTTGACTTATTGTAGAGATGAGGTCTCACCAAGTTGCCGAGGCTGGTCTCGAACCCCTGGGCTCAGACAATCCTCTCATCTTGGCCTTCAGAATTACAGGGATTACAGACTTGAGCCACTGCACCTGGCCTAACAGTATAATTTTTTAGTTAGGGTATTAATATCTCTAGTCTATGAAAAGATAACTAACGTTCTTTTTTCCTTTCCATGTATGGCTTAACTCCTTTCAGTTTTGTTTTTGTTTTTTTAAAATCATGATTCAGTTAACTTATAACAGATTTATATAAATATGTGACTGTCTCTGATATGCATAATACAGCTCAGATTAACAGTGCTTGTTATGTAGTCCTAAAACATTATAGAACTTCAAAAATGAGCAAAATCATAAAGCCTTTTCTCTACACAGGTGCTCGAGTTTGGCTTTTCATTGGTTTCATGTTGATGTTTGGGTCACTTATTGCTTCCATGTGGATTCTTTTTGGTGCATATGTTACGCAAAGTAAGTATTCTTCCTCTGTTTTATAGGAGAGATTCAACTGTGTCTTTTGTATTTGGCTTATTCCGTCTGGAATAAAATTTAGTGTAATTACTTGGTTAGCTTGGAGATATTACTCTGTGTGAAGAAATTGTTTAATAAAACTTGTCAGTAGGATCACTTTAGTGCAACAGGATAGCCTTGGTTAGGAAATCCAAGCCACTGACAAAGCCTGCTCCTCTCAGTGGTGTCTAGAGTTTCTGATTTACTTCCTTACCTTGGAAACCAGTCTCTTATAATAGAGGCCCATTTACTGGGGGTTGTAGTGGAAAAAGTGAGAAACCAGTCCAGGTCTATAGCCCCTTATACACAATTCTAAAGTTCACAAAATGGTTAAGTTTTTTCATAAGCAATTTGGCAACAAAACCTGAACCTAAACTGACATGGGACTCATTTTAGTCTTTATAAAGTATTACTTTTTAAAAATGCACATGTCTTATTATAGGAATGAATATGAATGTATTTGATTATGGGATGCTTGTCCAGATCCAGCTGATGGTGCTATATAATATATATGCTTTGTCGTATTGTTCTTAAGTCTGAAAAATTCTGAATTCCAAAACTTACCTTGCCCCATGGGTTTCAGATAAGAGGTGTGGAACCTGATATCTTTCTTTCCACTAACACCTCGTATCTTCAATCCAGTTTTACAATTCCTAAGTCATAGGTACAAACGGAGTTTTTAAGGGCAGATAACCTTCATGCAGAAACAGTTGGTGCAGAGGAATGAGCTCTTAATACAACATCTCGAGTTTTCTTGGTGGCTTAGCTTTTCATGCAGGATGGGGTTGACAAGCAGAACCCAGTCTCAGCAGTGTCTCTGGAAGAATTGAGTTTCAAAGAATGTAGTTTATTCATCCTGCCTCTGAAATCTGTGTCTTCTTTGCTTGACTGTCACATATTCTTTTCCTGACCCACAGCTGATTTTTGAATTCTTTTGACAGCATCTTTTACGTCTCATAGTTTGATCAGTATCATATCTTTGGAATACCTTTGTTTTTGTTTTTTTAAGTGAGAGGACAGAAAAACTTCCACAGTGGGAGGGGACCCGAGGGGGTTGCTGTTTTTGTTTTTGAGTTGGAGTCTTACTCTGTCACCCAGGCTGGAGTGCACTGGCATGCTCACGGCCACCACAGCCTCAATCTGCTGGGCTCAAGTGATCCTTCCAAGTAGCTGGAATTACAGGCATGCGCCACCATGCCCATCTTATTTACTTATTTATTTATTGCTGAGATGAGGAGGTCTCACCAAGTTGCCCAGGCTGGTCTCGAACCCATGGGCTCAGGAAATCTTCTCATCTCAGCCTCCCAAAGTGCTGAGGTTATAGGTGTGCACCACCATGCCTGGTCTATTCCTTTGTTTTTCTTTTGTCTTTGACTTGGCACAAAGGTCAGAGTACAAGGGAAAAGTGGTTGACTAATGCTTAAATAACATTGCTCACCAATTATATCTAAAATGTGTTATTTTAGTTAATTAAAAATACTAATAGCACACAAAGTTCTATTATGAAGCTTATCTGAAGGAAAGTATCTTAGAAAAAAATAAGATCTTTCTCTGTCACCCAGGCAGGGGTATAGTGGCATGATCATGCAGCCTCAAACTCCTGGGCTCAAGCGATCTTTCTACCTCAGCCTCCTGTGTAGCTAGGATTGCAGGTGCAAGACAGCACACTCAGCTATTATTATTATTTTTTTGGTAGAGACAGGACCTCAGTGTTCCACATCAGCCTTCTAAAGCGTTGGAATTGCAGGCATGACCCACTCACTGCACCTCTCCAGAAAATGCTTTTTAAAAAATAGCTTTATTCAGATATAATTTGCATACCATATTCACCATTTAAAGTGTGCAGTTCGTGGAACTGTGCTATCATAACCATAATTCAGTTTTTTTTTTTCTTTGAGTCTAGGTCTCACTTTGTTACCCAGGGTGGAGTGCAGTGGCATGATCAAAACTCACTCCAGCCTTGATCTCCTGGGCTCAGGCAATCCTTCCACCTCAGCCTCCCAAGTAGTAGACTGCAGGCACACACCATCACACCTGGCTAATTTTTAAATTTTTTTGTAAAGATGAGCTATCACCGTTATGTTGTCCAGGCTGGTCTCAAGCTCCTGGGCTCAAGCAGTTCTCCTGCCTTGGCCTTCCAAAATGCTGGGATTACAGGTATGAGGCTGGTCTCAAACTTATGGGCTCAAACAGTCCTCCTGCCTTGGCCTTTCAAAGTGCTGGCATTACAGGTGTGAGCCACTTCACCTGGCCTCCATAATCCAGTTTTGTCACATTTTTTTTTATAACTGCATACCTATTAGCAGTCTCTCCCAATTACCCTTCTCCCCTAGCCCTAGACAACCACTAATGTACTTTCTGCTTCAATAGGTTTGTCTATTTTATATAATTGTAATTATATAGGAAAATTGTGTATTATATTCATGTTATCCCTATCTCTAAGAAATGTGGGCTGCTATCACTGATTTCCTCAAAAGATTTCTATAACTATGTAAAAAGGAAAACTTTAGACTCATTTAACAGTTTATGTACAAGTAACAATTCATGAATTGGCCAGTACTCAGAACCAGAAGAGGTTCAGAGTACTCCACCGAACAACATGAGCAGCTATAGGATGAACACAAAGCAAATGAAAACATCTTTAGATTGGCCACAGCTGTGTGTTTGTCTTATTTGGGCATGATCGGTTGGCTGCTTGTGATTGGCTGAATCTCAGTTTGCTTGGCTGACATTCAGCTATTTGTTACAAAATGTATACTAAAATTACCTTTTAGTTTGTTTACATACTAAGTTAGCTTGGGGTTTGTCATGTAGGGACTCATAAGTAGGGAGATAGCTTTAGGCTAATGACCTGCTTATTTACTGTAGTAATGAATCAACACATGGAACTTTATAGTTTCTGTAATGAAAATAGGAATAGATTTATCATTTCTGTAAGGTGTGTAGGGAAGTATTGTTCATAAAGATTATACACTCAATTGATTGTATCTTAATCCTTTTTTTCTTTCTTTCTTTTGAGTTGAATTCTCACTCTGTTGCCCAGACTAGAGTGTAGTTGGCACACTTCTGGCCACTGCAGCCTGAACCTGCTGGGCTCAAGTGTTCCTTCCACCTCAACCTTCCAAGTAGCTGGAACTACAGGCTATATAAATAAATAAATAATCCTATACTCCCAGCACTTTGGGAGAGGGAGGTAAGAGGACTGCCTAGCCCATAGGTTCGAGACTATCCTGGGCAACATGTCAAGACCTTATCTCTATTATAAATCAAAAAATTAGCCAGGCGTGGTGGCACACACCTGTAGTTCCAGCTGCTTGGAAGGCTGAGGCAGAATGCTCGCCTGAGCCCAGCAGATCTAGGCTGTGGTGGCTGCACTAACTGCACTCCCTGCATTCCAGCCTGGGTGACAAAGACTCTGACTCATAAACAAAAAAAAGAAATTTCTCAGTATGTGCTGGCACTTTTTAAAGATTAAGATACAGGACCGGGCATGGTAGCTCATGCCTATAATCCCAGCACTTTGAGAGGCCAAGGCGAGAGGATTGCCTGACCCATGGGTTCCAGACCAGCCTGGGCAACTTGGTGGGATCTCATCTCTACAATAAACCAAAAAATTAGCTGGGCATGGTGATATATGCCTGTAGTTCCAGCTACTTAGATGGCTGAGGCGGAAGGATCAACTGAGCACAGAAGATTGATGCTACAGTGAGCTTGAGTGTGCCACTGTACTCTAGCCTGGGCGACAGTGAGACTTTGACACTAAATAAACAAATAAATACATTTAAAAAAGCTAAAAATTGCTGGACACGGTAGCTCAAGCCTGTAATCCCAGCACTTTGGGAGGCCGAAGTGAGAGGATTATCTCAACTCAGGGGTTCGAGACAGCCTGGGCAACTTGGTGAGACTCTGTTCAATAAATAAAAAAATAGGCTAGGCTCGGTGGCTCAGCCTGTAATCCCTGCACTTTGGTACGCCGAGGCGAGTGAATTGCCTGAGCCTGTGGGTTTGAGAACAGCTGGGCAACTTGGCAAGATCTCATCTCTTCGGTAAGTTAAAAATTAGCAGGATGTGGTAGCGCATGCCTGTAGTTCTGTCTACTTGGAAGGCTGAGGCGGAAGGATCGCCAGAGCCCAGCAGGTTGTCACTGGGGTAACTGTGATTGTGCCACTGCACTTCAGCCTGGGAGACGAAGTGAGACTTCAACTCAAAATAAATAAATAAATAAATAGCTAGATAGATAACTAGATAGACACATAAACAAGCTGGGTGTGGTAGCACATACCTGTATTTCCAGCTACTTGGAAGACTGAGGTGGAAGAATCGCTTGAGCCCAGCAGGTCGAGGCTGCGGTGGCTGTGAGCGTGCCACTGCACTCCGGCCTGGGTGACAGAGTGAGACATCAGCTCAAATAAAAATAAAAGATAAAAGATAAAAATCAAACCAGTCTCTTTATCCTGTCCAGTATTTATTTATTTATTTTTGAAACAGTCTCCCTCTGTCACCCAGGCTGGAGCAGTGGCACTATCCTGTCTCACTGTAGCTTTTACCTCTTAGACTCAAGTGGTCTTTCCCTCTTAGCTTCTCGAGTGGCTAGGACTACAGGTGTGCGCCACCATGCCTGGCTAATTTTTGTATTTTTTTGTAGAGACAAGGTCTTACTGTGTTGCCCAGTCTGGTCTCAAATTCCTGGACTCATGCTGTTCTCCCACCTCTGCCTCCCAAAGTGTTGGGGTTACAGGTATGAGCCACCACACCTGGGTCCTGTTAAGTTTTTTTTTGTTTTTTTGTTTTTTTTTGAGTTGGAGTCTCATTCTGTCGCCCAGGCTGGAGTGCAGTGGCATGCTCACGGCCACTGCAGCCCCAACCTGCTGGACTCAGGTGAACCGTCTGCCTCAGCCTCCTAAGTAGCTGGAACCACAGGCATAACTACCACATCCGGCTAATTTTTTGATTTATTGTAG